CATATTACCCGATTATTCCGTACGTTACATTTTGGCGACCGTGACAGGACATTAGTATTGTTAGTAACGTGTGGGTGTGAGAAAATAATCGGTAACACGTCACGATGGAAAAGCTCAAGAAGTCTCGTACCGTTACTCGTATAGCGTTCACGCGCAGTCTGACCTTGTTAAATGCAGCATTATCAGGAGAGAGATCGGATGTGCAAGAGTTACAGGTACGATTTGCTATGGTAAACGAGAAACATGTCGAGCTTGAGGTTATCAATCAAAAGATGTTGGAGGTTATGATCGACGGCGACGCGAGTGAAGAACAGCTCGCGCAGGAAATTGAGGCAGCCGACGATTATAGAGTAAAGTATCATCAAGCCAAAACTGCAGTAGACAATATATGGGACCGTGGCCAAGCGATAGCTGTCGTTCAGGATGCCGGACAAGCGATGCAAGCTCCCAGGGACAACAAGCGTGCGTATAAGTTGCCGAAAATAGAAATACCGAAATTTAGTGGAGAACTCAAAGACTGGTTGCAATTTTGGAGCTTATTCAAGAATATACACGAGGATCCGACAATTACCAAAGAGGACAAATTTCAGTATTTAATACAGGCGATGACGAAGGATTCCAGAGCGAGCGAAGTAGTAAGCAGTTTCCCGCCGACAGCAGTTAATTACGATAAAGTGATTACGAGCTTGAAAAATCGATTTGGCAGAGAGGATCTACTTGTAGAGGTATACGTTCGTGAGATGCTTAAATTAGTACTGAGCAAAACAAAGGTAAATAACTATACGCCTTTATCCAGAATTTATGACAGATTAGAAACTCAGTTACGTGCCTTAGAGTCACTAGGAGTTACTACGGATATGTGTGCGGCAATGTTGTACCCACTAGTCGAATCGTCATTGCCGGAAGACCTCCTACGTGTATGGCAAAGAAATCCTAAGGCAATCGCATCCACTACGTCAAAACAGCGGCTAGACGAATTGATGATTTTCCTTCAAGCAGAGGTATTAAGTGAGGAAAGAATTGCCATGGCAGTTGATGGATTTGGCCTTAACGATGAGCAATCTACTAGTCAAAATAAATCTAAGAAGAAAAGCAAGGCCGAATCGAAAGAAATTGCGACAGCTGCCGGACTTCTTTCTACGAAGGAAAATAAAAATCCTTGCATATTTTGCGGTCAGAACCACGACAGTGCCTCATGTGTAAAAGCGAAGAAGATGTCACGTGAGGAGAGATGTCAAGTTGTTAAGAAGAAGAACGCCTGTTATCATTGTTTAAAGACAGGTCACAGCTATAAATTCTGCCGCTATAAAGAGAAATGCGCATGGTGCGGCAAAAGGCACGTGCTAATTATGTGCCGCAACGTGTCAAGTATATCGCCAGATGATAATCAGAAAGAGGAACCTACCGATGCGCAGGAGCAATCTAGTCTCGCCAGTGTCCTTATGAATTGTGAGGTATTTCTACAAACGCTTCGTATCAAATTGATTAATAAAGGAAAAGAGCGTGTTGTTCGAGCAGTCTTCGACACCGGGTCACACAGATCGTACGTGCTGGATAGTTATGCCAAAGAGTTGGGTTTTGAAGTCGTGGGCGAACAGCAAGTTGTACATATGTTGTTTGGCGGCACGAAATCTAAACCACAGCTACATAAAGGATACAGAATCGCCGTACAGAGTTTAGATAATTCCTATTCATGTAATTTTGTTGCTCTTAGTCAGAATATTATATGTCAGAATGTTCCTTCGGTGAATAAAGGACCATGGCTACAAGAACTGCAACGAGAGGGAATAAGACTTACGGACGTTGACAGCAAAGATGAACCGGTAGTCGTATTAATAGGAGCAGACATTGTAGGAAAATTACTGACCGGAAAACGGAAGGAGATCAAGTGCGGGGCTGTGGCTTTCGAATCATTACTTGGCTGGACGCTGATGGGGAAAACAAATATTCCGTCCAAGCCAAAAGAGGACTCTGCTCTCATGGTTGTTTCCATGTATACTCGAGAAGCAAAAGTTGACGATTTATGGAAGTTAGATACACTGGGCATTACGGATCCAATTGTAAAGAAAACGAAGGACGCACGACAAGCAGAGATAAAAGAGCGCTTTCGACAAACAATTAGATTAAATGAAGAAGAACGCTACGAAGTATCGCTTCCATGGAAAGAAGATTATTCACCGTTAGCCGACAATAAGAATGCCGCGAAACGCCGGTTAGAGTCTACGACGAAGAAGCTGCGGGATCAAGGATTCTATGACAACTACCAACAAATATTCGACGAATGGTTATCCGATGGAATTATCGAGAAGGTATCAGAAGAAGAGATAACGTCGGACGGTTACTACCTGCCTCATAGACACGTGATTAAAGAGAGCAGCA